ATAAGGAATCACCCATTATGGACACGTGACCCACTGGGCCAGGCATGTTCTGATGGAAAGGGAAGAGTCGGTACTCAAAGGATTCTGGGCATCTGGAAGACCGGCTCTATGGGTGTAGGGCCATGGGAGAGGTGACAGACGAGGAGGCTGAGATCCAAGAGGAGAGCATAAATGTGTGCACGGGGAGACAGCCATGACACGGTAAAGTCCAAGGTGTGCCCAGGAAGATATGCAGATGAAGTGTTTGCATGGTATTCTGGCCAAGAAAAATCACGTTTAGTGTTTTGGCCAGGCATGGTGTGTAGCAATCAGGTTTATGATTAGGTTATGTGTGTGTTATTCATACACATTTACATGTGTAATAACAGCCCTTACTTCTGTTGGGCACATTGTGCTACGTATTTGTAATGACACCACTCTGGAAGGCTGAGGCAGGAAATCAATCCCAGCCTGGGTAACGTGGTGACTTAGAGAAACTCTGTCTCAAAACAAAATAAAAGTAAAGGGCTGGGAAGGTAGTTCCATGTGAATGTCCTGGGTTCAATTCTCAGAAAACAACAATGACCTTTTCTCAAAAAGAATTATTAACATAACAATTCTTTCATTTGTATAAATGTACTGAGAATACCTAGCCAAGGATTCCTTACACAACTATTTAAGATGGTGGACCAGAAACAATGATTTGGAAGTTTTTGCTGGTGGGGCCACCAATGTATTTGGTTCTTCATTCTATGCATTGTGACTTTTTATGGACAGGGCCACACATGGCTCTTTAATTCATTATGTGCCTCTCTTACCCCCAATCTATTTGGTAAATTTCCCACAGGCTGAGGATCATTTTATGCTTCTCCTGCCCTCTAGCAATGCACACATAATCCATGCCTTCGGAACAAGAAGACCATGACTGTTTTTGTTTTTAACAACTTATCTCCTAAATATAGGAAAGGCAAGTAGAGCAACGATTCTCAACTGACCCAGAGAATCTTGGAAAAGAGGCTTCTTTCACGTATACCTTGGACTCAAGAACCTTTAGCACCCTTTAGTACATGATACAACCACTGGACTTGTCTTTTCTTCTGCCTTCAAAAACGTTCAAGTGTTCTCACTTTCAAGCCCTTGCTTGCCTTTCTTCTCTTTCTGACTGTCCAACATTCCTCTTTTACTTGGACATAAAGTCCTGCAGCAGTTATCTGTGTTGTGTGTGTGATGCTTCCCTCCCTCCCCACTGGGCTTCTTCCTTCAGGGCCTTCCACTAACAAGATCTCTGATAAGGAGAGAGAAACCTCCAGCTCTTTTAAGAATACTTGTATTTTAACGGATGGTTTTAAAAAATAGAATTACACTAAAAAATTGAAAGAGTAAAACTACAAAGTGAGTGACAGATTGGAGGTCTCCATTAGGACCTCCTCAAATCATCCAGGGGACCAGCACCTACCCTCTTGCCTCTGGGGGACCTGACCAATTCTGTAGTCTTGGAGGAGTTGACTCATTTTCCTTACTTAGCAGGTGCTTCTAAAATATCTACCTCTTAGGGTTGTGTATAGGGGAATAAAACTGAAATAATTAATGAGAAAGTGTTTCCTAAACCACAGAGTTTACTGACTACTGGTCTACCTTCCACCACTTAACTGAGAATTGTCCCTTAATGCTGTCTCCTGCAGGAGGCCAAATCAGTAATAATTGGGAGTGTAGCACCTGAGAGCTGAACCACCACACTGTAATTATTCACCTGAAAGTAAGGAGGACTCACTAGCAATCTCTAATGTCCTTTCTGGGCCCAAAACAAGATTATCGCAAATTACTCAATTTGGTATTGTTTTTCTTTTATGTTCTAGATAGTTCTGACTTCCCTGCCTTAATTGTAAACTCCTTGAAGGCAGGAACAGTCCCTTGCAGCCCCTATGACTCCTATAAACTTAGCTCAATGCCAGACACCTAGGAGATACTCAAGAAATGTGCCTACCCTAAAGTGGTTCATTGATGTACATTTCTAATAGCAATTTAAACATGACGACAGGGCTCACCACCCTTTTTCCTCTCTTCATTTCCTGCACCCCACAAATCCCTCCTTGTGCTGACATTGTGGGAAAGGGCAGGGGGTCAAAATCTGGAGGCAGGTTAATTTCTCAGCCAGGTGATTTTTAACCACTTTGTGTCTTGGTTTCATCATCTGAAAATTGGATGTAATCCTCTTCCTGCCTGCCTTGGGGTTATGAAGATCAAACGAGAGGTTGCATGGGGGTGAAGGCCCCTAACAGCAGAAACTGCTTTCCTGGTGTGAGGTAACACTGTCCATTCTTATTTTACCTCTCTGACCAAATCAGAGGCTGAGGAAAGCAGAGAGAAACATTTTCAAATTAAGTTTAGAATATAAGATGTGGCTCACAGTGTTAGTAACCTTGGTTTTCTGGCAACTTCCTTAAAAAAATATTGTTCTAGCAGCGTATTGTTGTTCACACTTGTCTGGGAGGTGGACAGAGGAAGACTGCTGGGTCTGAGCAGTTTAGTGAGGTGGTGAGACTTTGTTTCAAAGGAACAACAGCAACAGTAGCAGCAGCAGCAGCAGCAAACCTCTAGCTAACCAGGCAACAGGCTTTCAAAAATTATTAAACATGTCTGTACCCTCTACATTTTAAATTTTTATTATTCCCTGTCCCCTTACAGTAGCTCTGGTTCCTGGCGAGTCTTGGGGATTTTTCGGAGTTAGGGATGACTCCAGGCAATATTTTAAAGCAAATAATTATGATACCTCACTTATGCATAGTTCTTTTTCATTTTGGAGTCATCATTTTGCACATATTTCAGGTCGTCTTTACAGCTCTGAACTAGGTAGGGCAAGATGTGTTATCTTCTTACAAATAAAACTGGAACTTTTACTTTGGCACCCTGTTTGAAGAGCCCCCTCTTGTACAGGTTTCACAGGACACCACATAACTCTGTCCTGCAGGCAAGTGAGGTCAGGTTTAAGGGCAGCTGTGGCAGCATCTAGGGGCTTGGTGGAAATATAGACTCTCAAGACCCCCAAACCTCCTGAACTTGATGAAGAACCACAGGTGGCTTACTGAACCACCATGTGTGAGAATACTGATCTGATGGGAAGGTATGCATGACTTAATATTATCTTTTCCAAGGATAGAAGGCTCTGAGGTATGCATTAAAATAAACAAACTTCTTTTTTTTCCTCTTACCCCTTTCCCTTATTACCCTTCCCCTACCCATCCCACCTTCCCTACACCTTTAGCGCCTTTCTTCCCATTTCTAAATGAGAATCAAGACTTGTCATGTAGAGGTACAAGATCCCAGCAATGAATGTAACTGTACTGTATCCCTGAAACGTACCAATAAACTCAATTAAAGCTGAAAACAAAACAAAACAAAACAAACTTCTCTCCCTAACAGGAGGAGTCTAAAGAAAATGACATGAAAGTTGAAGGAAGACTATGATTAGACTATTATGTAATGATAGGAACCAATAAACTATATTGAAAAGCAAAAATAGGGCTGGGGATTTAGCTCGGTGGTGGTGTGGCCACCTGACTCACAATTGGAAGGTCAAAGTTCATCCCTGGTACCAAAAACCAACAAACAAACAAACAAACCAAAAAAGACTAAGACGAGCTCAGCTTTAAGTTTTCAAGATTTGACAGGCTTGGGGAGAAAGCCACTTTCAACACTCACAGCATCTTGGTTTTTATTTAGTTTAAGCATTCCATAATTTCCAGAGAAACACCAAGCAACCCAGATAGGAGTCTATGAAATGTGTCTTCAAAACTGTCAAGGTTGTGAAAGACAAGGTAAACCAAAGAACTGTCACGCACATCAGGCCAGAGGAGACCCATGAGACGAGACAACTCAAGGTATCTTGGAGCCCTACCTAGATTCCAGGATGAAAAATAATATTGGGAAGCAAAATTAGTGAATCCTGCATGCAGGCCTGGAGTGTAGCTAGTAGTGATTTTGCTAATGGTGCCAGAGTGATGTAAAATGATAATTTTAGGGGAAAATGAAACCGGAATGCTCTACTACCTTTGTAGCTTTTCTGCAAATGTAAAATTACTCTAAACTAAAAAGTTCATTGAAAAAAATTAAAACAAATGCCAGGAAGAGAAATAGCCCTAATCAATGAGAATTTCAGGAATCTGGTTGCTTCCAAAGCTTTCAGTGCCGAAACATAAGGGATTTCTTCCACTCACACCAAACGCTGATGTGTTTTACCAAAACACATCACAGAACAACATTTTAGAGAGAAGAAACAGGAAAGAATGATATAAGAAAATGAAGCCACAAATTCCAAATCTATGGCCATAAAGCTATGGCCATAATTTATATCTATTTTCCTTTCATAGAATGTGCAGCACAATAAACTACATAGGCAATAGCTAATCAAACAACACTTAAAAACTTATGTACTCATTAAAACTGTTGGGTTCTGTTTTTAACCATAATAAATTTGGTGGCCTACAGTCACTAGAGGTTGTATTAGTTCTCTTTTCTAGTAAGTTAATCATTCTCTCCTCAAAAGACTAAAACACTGCATGGAGGGAAATGTGAAGGAAGTTTGTAATTGACCACCTGTACAATATTGTTCCTCACTCGACTCATTTAAAATTAAAAAAAAAAAAAATCTCTCCCTGCAGAGGATTCATTCTAGTTCATCGGACGGTGAAGGGCCTTAGATTTCACAGGATGGGAACATTCATGAGTAACTAACTGATCAGTGGTCCTTCAATCAGACATATGTGTAAAGGCTTTAGAGTTGACCCAGTACAAGTTCTCCTTCAACTTATGGGGAGCAAGAAATGTGACTTGTTCAAAGTCTCTCTGGTAGTGTTGAGAATTTTCAGGTTTCATCCGAAGAGCTCAGTATGCCAGTATTAGTTGCCCCCCAAAGCCACACACTTACCATTGCTCTGACTTCCCTGTTCCTCTATGCTCTTAACACCGGGCCACACTAGGAACTGAGGTTTTGATCAGACTTTTTCCTGAACGCTTCAACTCACCTCATCGACCATCTTCTGGATTTCAGGAGTAGCAGGTCTGGTCTCACTCAAGCCTCCACGAAGCATTGTGGCTCGCTGCTTCCTTGCAAGGGCAGGATGCTGGAACAGAAGTGTTAGGCAAGTGGAGGCAAGTGGAGGTTCAGGGTTTTAAAAGGTGTCTAGCTCCGCCTATCAACGCTCTATTTTCCAGAGAACCAAGAGGCGTGGGGGAGGTGGGTATGCCCCGACGGGAATCTTTTGTTTCCTCCAGAGAATATGCTGAGTGGAATTGGGAAGGAGGAGGGTGAGGGTGAAGTAATGAGCATGAGCAGCAGTCGTGCTGCAACAGGCCCCGCGGTTGGTCCCTGCCCTGCTCTGTGACAATAGTTCCTTCCTATTGCGATGTCTGAAAGAGGACGAGTGAAGCCAGTTTCCAAATGCTCTGAAACCTCCAGCACGACATTTTGTATTTTTTTTAAAGGACTGCAAGTTAATAATATCAAAGCCGATTGTTTAGAACTTACTTGACTTTTAAATTTTTCATTTTTACTGGTATACCATACATCTTAATTCTTTGTACTTCCTCTTCCTCTTAAGAAACTCTCTAGAGGACTCTTGCAGGATACGTACACTTCACTTGTATTTAAAGTGTTTAGAATATAGGAAGACAAAGAACAAAGCAATAAACATCTGTGTTTTTTATTACCCAGAACAAAATAGCTTAACATTTTGTCTTATTTGCTTCATGTATTTTTTGAAGTTTTTGAAAGAAAATATTATAGGTATGGAGGAGCCCCCTATCCCACTCAACCATGCCTTCCACAGGGGTAACTCAGTGGGTTTGGTGTCCTTTCAGAGAGGCCCTGTTTTCAGTACTGGGGAATGAAGCTAGGGGCTTGGCACTGGCCCTTTTTAAAATTTATTTATTTTATTTTAGTTTTTTATTTTGAGATAGAGTCCTTCTAAGTCACCAAGTTTCCCAGGCTGGGCTGAATTCCTCAGCCTCTCAAATGCTGGGATTACAGGTATGTGCCTCCATGACAGCTAGCACTTTTTTATCCTTAGTGTGTTTTAACGTTTTTACTTAAAGTATATGCTGATCATATATTCCTTATTATGCTCTTTCTACACAACAAGTGTTTGAGTCTTTCCATGTTGAGGCACAGATAATAGATCTGGTTCCCTTATGCTATATTTATTTATTGTAGCCGAGTTTCATATGTTGTTCCCTATTTTACTTATTTATTCCTCACTTGATGAAGATTTTGGTTATCTAGTGTGTCACCCTTATAAAGAATGTTGCATTATTTCCCTTTTGGAAATGTGTAAGGCTTCATGAGGCAGCTTATCTAGAGCAAAATTGCTATGTGATATGAATATTGAAATTATTTTATTACATTTTGGGAATGACTAATACATAGGTATGATGAAAATGAACCGAAAAGTTTGCAATAAAAAATTATTCACCCACTCAATTTCTCAGCCACCCTTTTCCTCTCCAGAGAAAATTGCTGGCCCCAGCTTCCTGTGGGTCCTTTTGAGACATTTTTCACACATACAAATATATATGATGGTAGGTGGGCTTTAGCATATGCGAATTACAGCCCTCCATAGTGGGAATAAAACAGCATTACCTTTTTTTTTTCTCATTGAGTTTATTGGTACATTTTAGGTATACAATGAAGTTACATTCATCATTGGGATCTTGTACCTTTACATGACAGGTCTTGGTTCTCAGTTTCTCCCCATATCCCTGCCTTCCCTTCACTCCTATCCTCCCCATTTACAAACACTTTATTTGCATTTTTTCATTTTCTCATATTTTTCTCTTTTCCCTTATTACCATTCCCCTACCCTTCTTCCCATTTCCTTACACCTTTAGCCCTTTTCTTCCATTTCACATTGTCAATTATATCATTAGGATCTTATGTACTATTATAGTTTTTACACCAGAGAAACTATTCGGCATTTACACATGTGTGACTTATGTATTTCACTTAGGAGTATATCCTCAATATGTATCCATTTTCCTATGAATGAATCTAATTTCTCATTCTTTATGGCTGAATAGTATTCCATTTTATAGAAAAACCACATCTTCTTTATCCAGTCTCAAACTGATGTGCAAATGAGCTGTTTCCCAGTTTTAACTATTACAAACTGTGCTGCTATAAACATAGGTGCACATATATCACTGTGGTATGATTCTTTTAATTCTTTTGGAAAGATACCCAGCAGAGGTCTAGCTAGTTCAAATGGAACCTCTGGTCCCAGCTCTCTGAGGTATCTCCATATTGATTTCTATAGTGGTTGCACCAGTCTGCACTCCCACCAACAATGGAGAAGAGTTCCCTTCTCCCCACAACCCTGCCAACATTTGTTACTGTGTGATTTCTTGATAGCAGCCATTCTTTGTGGGGTGAGGTGGAATCTCAGTGTTGTCTTCATCTGCCTCTCTCAAATGAGCAGCGATGTGGAACATTTTTTCATATATTTACTTATAGCATTACCTTTTGAACACTGTCTTTATGTGTCTCTTAGCCTTGCTTTTATATTTGGCTCCTCCAATATTTTCCAACAGATGTTTTTTACTTATGCACCAACACAGGGTCTCCAAAAGGGTTGTAAAGGCCCCATTTGAAGTGTGTGTTCCAGTGGAGGGTGTGGCTACTCGTCCTCTGGCTCTCTGGAGATTGAGGGGGAAGGCAGGAGATAAGGATTATTGAGGATGGGTCACAGACAGTGAAAGAGGTGTACATTTCAGTTGTTAGGTAATGGATGTTGCTAAAAGTTTTGAGCTATACAGAAATCATTTGTGCTGGAAGCAATGCATAAGCTGCTATATTAGAAAAAACACTATTCCCCTGTTTTCTCCTATGATAGGCTCAACACTTGTCATACTCCGGCTACCAAAATATGTGTGGGTTTTCTCCACATACCAACAATTGTCCAGCACACACTGGCCAGGTATCCTCCAGTTCAGCCTCCCTGAGGGCTGGTATTGCAGATGTGAGCCACCCACCACAAGCCCAGCTGGTTTGATCACTTTTTAACCCAATCTCCGGCCCACTCCCTTCCCAAAGGATGGGGAATGAAATTGGGCTGAAAGCTTCTAATCACGGCTGTTCTTTCTACTGTCAGCCCCACCTAGGACCCCACCATAAATTGCCTTGGGTAGAACAAAAGACACTCCTGTCACCCAGGAAAGCCTAAGGTTTATGTGCTCTGTGTCAGGAACTAGGATCAAAGAGGAAAAATTACAACAGATTCTTTTAGCATCCTTTTAGCACCACTATGGCTCAGGAAATTACAAGGGTTTAGGAGCTCTGTACCAGGAATAGGAGAGAAAGATCTTATTCTCATTCACAGTATAACAGCTGCGTTAGAGAAGAAGATTCTTGAGACAGAAAAAATTAGAAAGCTATCAGAGTGAAATGTGAATGGGAGCTTAAAGTGAGGTTAACATATGGACCAAGGAGGAATGAGACAGGTGATTCGAGAAGCATAAACAGTATTAGGGGAGAGAAAGGAGCAAAGAGAAGAGTCCCAGGTGACCATGAGAAGTGTTTTGTTTGGGTGATGAGGAAGATACTTTTAGTATGAGTAGAATTTGGGGCCATTGGATGAATAGAAGGTTTAAGCAAGAAAGTCAGTATTGAAAATATAATGACTATAAATGGAAAAAAAAATCCACCTTTCTTATTTTTATATTGAAATGCTGGGGAAAATTCTTCGCAAAATTTAATCCAAACATTACTAATTTCATGGTTAAACTAAAACTCATGAGCTTTGATATGTCATGATCTTGCCGAAACTCAATTTTTAATCACATATCATAAATTTAAAAAATGCCATTCTATCCATTACCATACTAGTAGAGATGAGGCATAAAAGAATGTTGGAGGGCATTAATACAACAGTGGACTTTGGGGCACAATGAACAAAAAGCAATGCTATTCAGATGAAACTCTTTTTTAATTTGAATCTGTTCCATCTTAATATGCTGCCAAAAATTAAAAAAAATTTTGTCATTACTTTATAAGAGAAAATAATAAAAATTAGATGTTCACTACTATAAAGTATTTTTTAAATATAATCTAGGAAGGAACTTTTTGTATGGCACAATTCATAACATTTTTAGAAAAGAAATTAGCATTCTTGATTAAAATATTTCATCAATTTTCTGACCAATTTTAATAGGAGTAAGACTTGTGGGAATGTAATTATTGTCGCAAAATAATAAGGTATTTTTAAATAAAAATTCGTAGTGATTTTAGGACCATGAGTGCTTCTTTGGGAGTTGCCCTTAGCAGAATTGCTTTTGCTTCGCCTCCCTTTGCCATTCTTTAAGGTTACTTTCCCTCCCTAATCCTTTTCAGGTCTCCTCCCTTTGGCCTGGTATTCTAAAATCCCCACCTAAATTGCTATAATGTTAAGGAGTCATATGCTGGTAATCCTAGCACTCCGGGAGTCCGGGGCAGGATTGCAAGCTCAAGTCCTAACTAAGCAATTTAATGACCTAGGAAGATTCTGTCTCAAGATTAAAAAATAAAATTGAAAAAGGGCTGGGGATGAAGCTTGGGTTGAAGACCCTGGGTTCAATTCCCAGCACCATACTCACAGAACTTAAATGCCAAGTAATTTTTCTTTAGGTTTACACAACTCAAAACATCTGGTGACTTTCAGATAATATCAGAATATGAAATGCCTCTCTTCAGTTTTAGATCCTCTGTGTCCCCTTAACTTGTAGTAAAGTAATGTCAAAAAAGAACTGTAGGAGGCCAAGAATGTAGCTCAGTAGCACTGAGCCTGCCTGGAAAACACAAGGTCCCGAGTTCGATCCCTGGTACCACAAAACAAACATACAAACAAACAAACAAAGATAACCATCGGAACTGGCCCCTTACTGGAGGTTAAGGTCCATTGTACTGCTGTGGAGACAGAAAAATGAGACACACAGTGAGACTGAAGAACCCATTGAGCACCTGATCCTCCTACCCTGTTCCTCCTTTCCCTTCCTATAAAGTACTTTGCGTCCCTGAGTGTCCAGAGTTAGAGTTTTGGGGATGATAGCCCCTCTAACCTCCAAGGTGGCAAGCCCTCGAATAAGCCTGATTCCTTCTCACTAAGTCTCAGCTCCCAAATATTGGCCTTTGAGCAATGAGCAACTTGGACCTTATTCTGCTAACAGTTGAACTTCTTAATTGCTGCACTGGTTATGGAAGCAACCAATTATTATTGTTTCAATGAAATATTTATAATCACAAAAATATGAAAGTTTTGTTCAAGTAAATGGAATTCTAATCACTATCTTAAAATGATTTCTTCTCATAAATTAGTTTGCTAATGTTGGGGGTCA